TATGGTTAGCCTTTATGAACACTCCCTATCCTTTGTTAATGTTGTAAAAAATTAGAAAACTCTTTCAGAGACTGGCGCATTTTCAGAGAACTTCTTCAGTGTTTGCTACCGGGGACAACAAAGCACACATCAAACTTATGTGTCAGCTATTTGGCTATACAGTGATACCATTCCAGAAAACAGAGCTGTCTTTCTAACAGAGGTATGCATCAGTAAATGTGTCTGTAGTTCTGGTTCTCTGAGCACTAACTCTGCAGACTGGGCTAGAGCTTCTTTCCAGGTTAGTTTTCCTGTAAGGAAAGTAAGGAACCTGGGGATAAAGATTGACACACTCAAATCTTCCATGGATACAATATTTGGACATGAATGGGGCATGTAGCCAGACCAAGGAACTTAAAAACACTCTCAGATCTTGCTGTGTGAACACAGCCAAGATGACCAGCATTTGTTTGCAAAGATTTGTTAGACTGTCAGTGACACCACACTCTGTGTGTGTCCGTGGCAGCTTTTCAGCGTGCCTCTGCTGGGCTTCTAACATTAACGCTCCTTTCAATCAGGGATGCAGAGAGGAGCTAATGACTCATAGCTCCTACAGGTATGGAGTACTTAAAGAACTGAGTGCCATGCCATCTCTTGTAATTATGTTGATAGGTTTGACAGGCCTAGAAACTTTAATAACATCTTAAAAGCAGATTTTCTGAAGTAAACAAGGAGCTCTTAAGTAAAGGGAAATGGAAGAAGCAAAATGTAATTGCCCATTGCTATACCACTTATTTCCTCTTTTCTAAGGCAGCAATTCCTCCACATATACCTTAGTTCTACAAAGCAGTAAGATCTGATAACATCTCAATTATGTTCCCGTGTTTATCCTGATTTTCTGATGATTATAAATTAATAGTTTTACACTGTGCACATCTGGGGATTTTCCAAAGGACAACACACAATTTTTGTTGTCTTATTGGACAAAAAAATGTAGTAAAAATCCGCAGTGATTCTCCATAAAGAAGTTGACACAGGGAACATTAAGCTGTATACCAGAAAAGCCCATATTTTATGGTGTTGACTGTTTCAGATACAGAAGCATGTGCTAGATCATTCTCCATTCTCAGAAGAATACTAGAGGAACTCCATTGTCTCAGGTATCTAAATTCTGCTCCTTATTTTCTATGCAAGTGATACTTTAGAAGATTCAACATCAGAACAAAGCAGTTTTTTTAACAGAAAAAAAAGGTGGAGTTTTAATTCATGAAGTCGATTGTTGTTATTTCAAATAGATGTTGCCATCTAACTGGGCTTTAGAAAATAGAAGACCGAAAATGTCTAAGGAAATAAAAAACCTGTTTCTTTATTGGCACTTGTATATATTATTAGCCTGACTGCTATGTATTTATTGGAAAAGGAAAAGGTGTATTTTCAAAGGAGAATAAACTAGATAAAAAGGAATATAGCATTTTCTTCTTAGAGCAAACTACATGAGCTTTCCTTTCTCATGGTAATGATAGTCCTCAGGAAACAATATGAGCAAGAATTAAATGATTGTGCAGCAGATTCAACACATACAAAGAAATAAATAATTTTTTTGTCTAATCCACAAAGTAAATTCCTGTGATAAGACTAGACTATTTCAAGCAAAATTTACCCCCTCCTACGTTATCACATCTGTAAGTTTCGTGTAATTTGTCCTTTGAGTTTTTCCAACATTCTTTGCTCTCAGCAGTGTTTTGTAGTAAGTGTATCATGGTAGACCTTCCTAGACATTAAAATTCAAGTGAATGTTGAAGTCATCCCACTTTGCTTCATGACTGTTGAATCCAGAGGTTTTGAGACTAGGGAAACATTAATGGAGAAAAGCTGAGTTTAAATGTAGCCACTTGTGTAGTGGTGGCTGGGCTCTCTGTTGGCTTCTCCTAACAAAACCTACCACACAGGAACTTGAGTGAGAGAAGTTCTCCTAGAGAGATGTTCCTAGACAAAAGGTGGCAACAAACTGCTTTTCTCTGGTGAATCATGGGCGAAAAAAAAAGCTGTCTGAGGAGTAGCCAGTGCCTGTTGAAATTAAATGTGACCAAGGAAAAAAGCAAATACTCTGTTTTGGGGTTTGTTTGTGCAGTGTCCCCCCCTTAAAAAATCTTTAAAAATGCTCCTTGACAGTCTATCTCATGAAGAAAGTGGTAGAAACCACATTTGACTTCCTCTCGAAGTCAATACTTTTCTTTGTGTGTGGTAAGCAGCTGGGGCATCTCCTGAGAAGCTGTAAAGAGTTTCCTTTTATAGCTAGAAAGTTTTGCAAAGTAGACTATATAAAGGAAATTTCTGTCTTACAGTCCTAGCCATAGATATAGCCTTGTGGTTATGAAGTACAGAGTTTCAACAAAAAGTAAGACAGTTATTTCTATCTTCATTTCCACCCACAGCTCCCAAGAAATAGTCAGAAGCTTTGACCTTGACTCTGAACCAGGAGTTCCACCTCAGCCAAAAGGTATTCTTTATATTTGGAGTCTCTAGTGAAATATAGAATGATGGAAGAAAAACCTTCCCTCACAGCTATTTCCTGTGCAAGTTAATGGCAAATACTACCATTGATTATACTTTATTTAAAGGAACCAGAATATGAGAATAGAAAGCTTAAAATGCTACTTGAATTGACATATTCTTTACAACAAAAGAAAAATATTCTCTAGATTTTTACCTCTGTAAATGATGTGTCATTCTTCAAAAGTCCCAGGAAATGGATCAATATTTTTAACTTCCAATAGTATGCTGCATTCAGTAGTACATTTGATATTTTTTTTTTACCAGTGTTACTGGGCTTACTTTTCTCTAGTTATGTATTTTAGATTGAACTCTAACAAGAAGGAAAAGGCTAAAACAGATTAAATTGCTTCCTTGTGAATCAAAGTAGTCAGGTAGAGGACACACATCACTTAGCATCCAAGGGGCCACATACATATCAGCTTCATAAAATTCCTATTGAATGATGCAACTGCAATATGTTGATTACAACTTTGCAAGACTTTCCTAAAACAGGGTGGTCATTCGTAAGTAAAATCTTCCACAATTTTCCATATAAAACAAGGTTGACATTTATGGTGTGAACAGTTACATTATTTCAAGTGAAAACTCAGAATGGGAGAAAACAACAGAGAAAACTTAAGAGAAAATCTTAGCTGACAGCAGATAAAAAAAATCAAGATTGCAAGAATAATGATCTCCTTTGAAACTTTGGAAACCCATCCAGGTATTTTAAAGTAAGGATGATCTAGCTTAGGGCAGAGATTTGAAACAGATTGTGAAACCTTAGAATAACTGAGATTGAAAACAAAGAGATTTATAGATGATGGTTAGAATTTCACATAACCTCTTACCTTGAGGAACACAAAGTACACATAACAGTAGGTCTGACAGCTTGGCAGTAACAACTACTCTTGTGGTAAGCAAGCATGATAGCTCTGAACAAGCAGCAAAGACTTTGCTGGGAGAGAAGCATCTAAGATACATAGACAATAAAAGTAAAAATGCTATGCTGTTCTAAGGATGTAGTATACTATCTTATTGTTTTCTGGTGCAGAAACAGGAGTGGGAGATGTCAGCCTTCCTTTACATTCATTCTGGCCACAAAGTATTTGTACGACACTCAAATAACCCCTTAAGTGTAACTGAGCTGCTGATAAATAAAACAGATTTTGGTGTATGAATGAACACCTAAAGAGTTGGTAGAAAAATATAAACTCCTTTGTGAGAGATTCCAGTAGTTTCAATATTGTGCTGAGCACCAGAATACTAAGTTCAACAGCACCTTAGAATAGATGCTCATTAACAATAACTAAAATGTTAAATACAGAAAAGAAGGCTTCTTTTGTGAATAGTGAATTATACAAAAGTAAGGTGCCCAGTTTCAAAAGTGAACTTTAATAAAATGTACCAAGAAGATAGTGAAAATGTGAAAATGTCTGCAGTTTATATGTTGAAGAAATTAGGATTTTTTATAATTTAGAAGTGCAAGAATCTGAACTTCTGCTTTTATTGCAAGCAAGGAGAAAGTATGGAAAACAATAACTCCATGAATAGAAATTAATAGCAATAGGGTGGATAAGATAAAAAAACCTCAAAATGATAGCTTAGAAGACAAGAATTATTGTTAGACATGAAGGATGGGTAACTTAGAAAAGAACATCAGAGAAGCACATACTGTTATTGGAAGTAAATGCTAGCTTCAGAGGTTATAAGAACACAATTTCTAGTATGTTTTGAACAAACATGTTAATGCATGCATTCAGAATGAATATATATTCCTAGCTGAAAGTTTCATTAATTTTGTTATTTGAATAGCAAATAGCTGAAAATCAGAAATAGATTTCTATTACTTACAAGGTGAGTATTTCTTGATCCACACTATTGCAGAGTTAATTTTTATCTGTTGCCTGTACTGCTGTTAGTCTTTATTATCTCACCACGCATGAATTTTCATCCACCTGTATTTAACTGATGAAGCATGTGGATCCTTGGACGTGGGAACTTTCTGCTTGCTGCCGTCTAACTTTTCTTTTTTTCAAACCAGATGTTGAAGCTTAGTGTGTTTTTAATATGACACAATGTGTATTTAAATTGTTTACTGGTAGTCTGACATAACAGGTACATGCACCTCTGCCTCATGAATGCCTTAGGTCTAGTATGTGCTTTTGGTCATTTAATTTCAGTGACAGGTCAGTGGAAAACAGTAATATAGCAGGTGGAATAGCAGCAGCTGGAAAGTGGTTAAAAACAATAACAAGTCTGGAAAGCAAAATTTGTCAGAAACTCAGAGAAGTTGAACACAGGCACAACTTTATTCTTTACTGAGGCTTCACGGTAACTGAAGTCTTGAGTGTCTCTGAGATAAAGGAGACTAGTCATAGTTGGCAGCCTCGATGATCATAGCTAAGCTCATTTAGAGGAGTACCAGACTCCAGTGGATTACATGGAAAGATTTGGCAGTTGAATGAAAGAAAGGGTTGACTTACTGAAGTAAAAGCCTCTGTCTCCACAGACGAACTGAAGAGCATCAACCAGCTCAGCACCACAGAGTGTTTCTGGGCCAGCAGCAACAGAACTGGTTAAGGTAAGCAAACACAGCCCAAGGTAGAAGAAATGGGTGTAGGACACAGTGTGCATCTTCACCTGCCAAGGAATCAAAAGCGGTGTTAGAATTTGCCAACAGAGTCTTAAACAAAATGACTCTTGCACCCTTGTGAGTTGAGAATAAATATGTAATATAATTTCTTGGACGATAAACGTACTATCAGGAAATGTCTCACCATAATTTTGTAATGGTCTACATGTTCTAGTCCATGTATTTTGTGAACTGGATATTTCCTCTGGTGAATATTCTTGGTTCACATTCACATGTAAGTTCGGGAACTTAGGAATCATAGTGACTACGATTTATGGTTGCTCCTGCAAAAGGAGGATATGGGGGAGTGCAGTGGACAGGTTAAGGGAAGCCTGCAATGATAGGAGTAAGGAAGGCAACATGGGACTGGTTTGTCTTAGACCAGATAAGCTGAGGGAATACAAGAGCTGTCTGCCAATGTACTGTGGGAAATGGGGGTGGCATATCATTGAGAAGAGCTATTTAAACTAAAGGCCAGCATTGGCACAGGAATAAATGTCTGTAAACTGAATGCAAGGAGATTTGGCCTAATAGGAAGAGAGCTCTTTATTAGGACTTCATTACTCTCCAGCTACCTTAAAAAGGAAAATACCAGGACAAACCAAAAAAAGTTTCAAGGTACAGCTTGCCAGTGTTACTGGAACTGATGTGGGACCTTCCATAGTAGAGGACCACAATCAGTGACTCTTACAGTCTCCTGTTACTAACAGGCAAACATCTGGAAGCATTTGAGAAATGCAGCTATGCTTCATTGACCTCCATTATATCCTCTTAGTCAGGTATGGCTATAAGGTATACACAGAGGTGATAATTCTTTTCTCATTTACATTTGGTTACAAACTATCTTTTTCCTGTACTTATGATTGAAGAAAGGCCAATCCTCAATGGGAGTAAACTTGCACCATTCCATTTATCCACTTCCTTTAGTATCAATTTATGTCTACCAAAGATCTTATCCAAAATATCTAAAGAAGATAGCTTTTGTGGTTTTTGGGGTTTTTTGGTTTTTTGTTTGTTTGTTTGTTTTTTTAATATTAGGAAGAGCTATTTACCTATAGTAGCATGACACTGAAGAATGTGCTTAATGCATACTCTGAACTTACTCAGATCACTTGCCAAAAATGCTAGTTTCAAAAGGTGTGAATCCGAATTTAATTTCATTGTCTTTCAAGGTTAACGGTATTAGACTCAGGTAAGAAGTTACAAATCTGTCTTCTACATACAGTTAAACTTGGCTTAAAACTCCTTTGTATTAGCAAACTACTACAAAGCAATTGGAGTAAAATGATTAATCTTCCCCGAAGTTTCTTTCAGGGACCATTTAATCTTATTTCTTCACTGAACTTTTGAAAAACTGAAGAAATTATCTATTGTCTGATCAACTGGGATCTGTTCCAGTGGGGTATTGAGTCTTCTCTAGTCAATAACTTTTAAGAATTTTTATTTTCTTGGCAAGGGATCTTAGTACCTTGCTAGATGAGTCCCCTATTTCCACTATGAAAATAATGAATAAATCTAAATCCCAAGATGCATTATAAAAAAGAGTGAATAATTATTTTCCCATTCACAAGAGTCTTTAACCAACTTTGCCATGCAAAACCCAACAAGCTTGAATGCACAGACATGACTTCAATGGCAGATGGAAAAAGATCAGATTATAAATGAATGATGATAACATGAGGCATTATTTCCTGTAGTGATTCCATATCTTAACAACAACAATTTCTTTTTTCCTTGGCCATATTTTTGAATTTATAAGATAAATGTGATGCACCTGCAGTTTAAGATGGTTCCCAATTCTGAGGAGGTAAAGCAGAAAGCTGTTTAGCACACTGCCTCAGAAAGCTGAAAGACATTACAAATACAAGAACATTATGTATTTAGCAATTTGTTCTCGTATAACATTTGGTCCAGAAATAAACATAAATTTTAGGCATTTAACAATTTTTTATTTTTCAAGACTTCTCAGCTGGCTTGCATTTTCAGATAAATATCAGCACTGAACTACGACAAAACAGATTATCTACTGTTTTTCCTTTACTGGAAGCCAAAAAGGCTGCACAGTATAAACCACAGAGAATTTCTAACTTTATCTCCAAATTTAACAACAGTCAAGAACTTTCAAACACGTAAAAACTTTGCAGAAAAGAAAACAGACTCACATGTATCTGGGGTTCAATCAATTATTTGATTAATTAAGTGCTGTTTCATTAAAACTACTTCCAAACATAGTTTAAAACTTTACCTCATCATTTTAATTAAACACAACATTAATTGATTCAATATGTTTGTGATAAAATCAAAGTTCCTCTCTATGTCTAAGGGGAATATTCTTAAGAAAATACAGAGTTGTAATCCAATATTGCTTCAGGTTCTCTACAATCAAGCAGGATACTTACATTATCCCCAATTTGACTAGAAAGTTGAGAGCTTAAAAGAAAAAGCTTTGCCATGTGGGTGGGGTTTACTGAAGCATCTAATTACATTAGGAAATTGAATACAGGTTCAAGATGAGCCTGGTTAAGCACTTCTTTTAGTTGCATAGAATGACCATATTTTCACAGCTGGAATTTCCTTTTTTTTTTTTTTTTCAGTAAAATAGCCAGCTTTTGCTGCATTCCTCTTTTAACAGTCCAGAAGAGTGGCACCACAAAGGAATGTCATATATGAACACTCTACATCTCATTTACTTCTTAATTCTGCTATGTAAGTTCTCTTTGCCTAAAAAACTATTAGTTGACAAAAGTTGTGCATAAGAATTCTTCACATGCTCGGTCATTTTAGTAACATGTAGGAACATCTGCAATAATTAAAAATACCTGGGGTGGGGCAACATATTTATGGACAGTATACTCTATAGAAAGAAATCAAAAGATATATATTCAAAATTACATTTTACCACAGGGAGGGTGGGCCTGATTATCAAATCATAGTAGAAATATGCAATTATTATGCAATAACAGTATTTACTAGTAATTATTATATAAATAAAGACTATATACTCTAGAGTGGATCAAGGTTTAAATACTGTTAACTTTGAGTAAAGAATCTGGGCTACATGCTAACCTAAATCAATATGTTCAATTGATTCCAAGGAAGCTTGGCAGGATGCACAGCTGAGGAACTAGCACATTACTTTTATGTCTCTTAGTGCCTTACTCAATACTTTGAAAAAAATCATCTTTCAAGTATATTGGAAGGGATGCCCACTTATACATTAAGGGAATGATTTCATCCATTACAATTACAGACCTGTAATTAGGTCATTAAGGAATGAGATAAGTGTGTTTTAATTGTGAGACTCTCTAAAAAAAAATAATTAGGCCCTAAACAATTAAAACAGGATAATTCTTTCAACTGCATAAATGTCCTTGCAAAATATTAAAGAAAAAAAAGTTCTTGAAGGATATAAATTTGCTGATAATGGAAAGTTGAACTAGAGCCAATTGACAGAAACAGAGGTCAATGCACCTACTGAAGTCAAATTTACCTAAACCAGTTTATATTATTGTGCAGAAATTATAGGGTCATAACATGAAACTTCACATGCAAACTTTCCTGAAACAGCCCTCCCCAGAAGGGAAAACTTGGAGATGAACATGTAAGGGAATTTCCATTTTCTTTATGTACAATTGCTTAAGCTGTACAAATATGCAAGGTCAGCAAGAGTCGCAGCTGGTTTCTAATGTAGAAAACAAACTGAAGTTCTCATTTACTTTTAATTTATGAAAGCAAAAAACAGGCAAATGCTACGATGTTGCCAGCAAATTGCTGCAGTGACAACATCACTTAAAAGTTTCCTTGTGAAAGCTTGAGCATTTTCTCAGTAATTGTGCATAATAAAACTGCAGAAACTTAACATGTGAATAATACCTTTTTTCCTATAAAACCCTGCACCTGCAGAAAATAGCTAAAAGTTCTTGTTTTCAGAAGCATTTATTAACAATATAGACAATGATGTAATTGGACCTTTTAATAATGACATAACTGAAATATTACAAAGTTCTCTGAATAGAAGTGAAATTTAAGACATGTATCTTCAATAGTTTACCCTTACAGTTATCTATGTAATTGCAACTATTACATACAGCCATTTTCCAGATCACATAAAATTGCATGTTCAGCAATTTATAAATAATTCTCAGTTCTAAAATAATGTTATTGAAAAGTGCACAATACTCTTCAAACCAGAAGCAGACAATACACAGCAAAATAAAACTAAAAAATTATTTGAAATAGTAATAAAGATTTACCTTCAAGAAATCACACAAGCAGCACTTAACTAATTGTGTTGAAAGACTGTTGATTTTTTCCATTGCTTCTTAAAAGTGCAAAGTCTGGAAATGAATTTGTTAGCAGTAATGATGAGAAAAAAGAAATCCAGAGAGATGTGAGATGTTGAGAGCAATGTCACATTTCAATATTGAGGACTTTATTCCATTGCGCAGGCTCTATCTGCTCTGATTTTAGCAGTGACAGTGAGATTTAGCAAACAGAAGAGGGATTTAGAGAAAATCCTCACATTTATCTACATTACACAGACACTGTAGACAGGAAACAGCTGGGGGAGCATTTGCCTTCTCTCTCTCTCCCTCTTCTGGCAAAGTTACCGAGTAAGGACTTTTTTGGGCATGGTGACAAATAACATCATACCTTTGCATTTTAAAACTAGAGCACAGAAGCATATTTTTTTCCCTTTAAAAAAATGTGAATTAGTGACTGAGGGGTTAGCAGACAAAAAGAGCTTGTGCTGCCATGAAAAATAAGAAAATGTATTCTAGCTAACTTTCAGATAGCTATGTGCGTTTGTATTTATGTGTGTGTGTCTGCATTTCAAATACATAAAAACTTATACACCTAGGGGCAATGTTTGTATATATGCATACCTTTTTGTATGTACACACATTTTATTTTTGCATAGAGGCATAGGTATTTTATTTATATGGTACAGAAAGACAGGCAGTCATTTATCTATGTTTTTCTTAATGCGTCTTTACGTTTTTAAACTTGGCATGCCTGTATGCTGAGTAACAATTAAAACCTCCAGCTCTCTGTGTGATTAACCCTAAAATAGCAGTTTGTAATTTGCTAAAAATAACAGAATTGTTAAACACTACTTGTAAATAGGGCAAAATAGCTTTGTGATCTTTCAGCAACCACACAGGGGAAATCGTATAATTTCCTAGAATTTACAGTACTATGAATATAGTAGCACAAGTAGCCCAGTTTGGGGGGCTTCCATGATGTGTATATTAAATCTACTGTTATAATTATAATGTGATTTTCCCCCTTTTGAGTAGTAATCTTCAAATTACTCTTGATAACAATTTACTTGACACCAGGAAAGAGAGAATTCAACTTCATTAGTTCTGCAATACCTAAGTTTTGCCTTTTTTATTTTTCCTCAATTATGAGTATATTATAAATAACACCAGCTGGCCAGCAACATGCTCTCACGGGTTATGATGTCATTCAAATCCCTCAACTGTGTTAGTGGCTTGCAATGTGCTCCAAGCCAGCTGTTTTTCTATTTATAATGTATGCTTGCATTTCAATACTTAGCTATTGAGAATAAAGTTGGGATGTTGTTTTATAGATACAGTTTGTACTTGTTACCCTTTGGGTTTGGAAGATGGCATTTAAAAGTAGAGGACTAAACAAGAATGCATCTCCAGAGACCAAATACATGTCACAAACAGTGCATGATTTCCATAAAAGCTGTTTCAGAACATTGCATTTTGTCCCAGTTTGCTTCCACTCAGAGTTGCATGCTGAGGTGCTAGCTGTACTTCATGATTGAAAATAACAATTGAGATCATGTTGGCCCAGATCTGTTCTCAGTTTTCAGATCCACCTTGAACTATATGGTGCTTGCCAGGCAGAAAGGACACATTTAGTTATTTGTATCCTCTATGAATGGCTAATACTCTGCTCTGTGCAGTTTTAAACAGTGTGTGGTTTGCTAAGCTGATTAATCTTTGGAAGGGATTTCTTCTAATGTAACATAATGGCAGAATCACTGAGGGCTTTGAGGTAAGTTTGCTTAGGTCAGGTAATGCTAATAGTTCAAGTATTCTAATACACATTTGTACTGCAGGTGATGTATTTTAATATTCTGGTCTGTTTTATTCTTCCCTCTGCATTTCAGAGGTCACTGCATAGTGGTATCATTCTACACATAGCTTGATAAAGCCTGATGCTACTCATAGCACATGTATCACTTCTTTGACAAGCCTCGTAGAAAAATGTGGGATGACAAATTAGCAAAGGTCTGATAATATCTTTTCTTTTTTCTTTGCTTTTACTGTACTACAGATGGGTGCACATACTTCTGCCTTTTTCTTCCTGAATAACAGAAGGAATACGCTCATTCATAACTTCCCTGCTGCCTGAGCTGCAAACCCTTGTCTCACTCTGCACTGCTTTCTTTCTCCTAGGTTTCACCAGGCCTTTATCGGCATGAGAACAAGATGCAGTAGAAGATGCAACTTTTGGCTTTCAGGGTAACCAGAGAATCATAGTGTCTCTAAACAACTGATAATAGTCTTTGCCATTCTGAACACTTTTCCTCGATGCACCTCACCAGCCTAAGGTTCTGATATACTTCACTTATTTCTTTTGGTTCTTGTTTCGAAGTGCTTGTGCAGTTACATATATTCCCTTGAATAAAATGCACCTGTAAACTACAGAATTTATGATAGTCATCAGAATACAAAAGATGTCCAGGTAAAAAAAAAAATATTTAATTGGAATGTGTATAGCTATTCTACATTAAAAGAATATAGCAAATATATTTTTGTTTACCTTCTTAAATATGTCCTGCAGTGATGTAATAACCACAAAGATGTACTAAATGAGTGAGAGATGAAACCAGAGTATTTAGGAATTTATGTGTCCCGATTCTCATCTTTTGCACTTTAATACTCATATGACATCACTAATATGCTCTAAAGCTATAGAGTTCCTGTGTCAGTTTTTCCAGGGAAAACTCCATTTTGTAGAAAATAACAAAACTAGAAATAATCATTTATGCAAATTAATGTATTGTCCCTCATTAACTCCTTTTTAAAAGGGTAGGAGCATTGCCACAATGCCCGAAAAAAGTCTGAACTGTACTAAGGCAACCAGTGTGCATGCCTCTTGCATTCTTCTGTATTAGATCAATCTTACCTATATGCAGTTATTTGTTATTTGTAGCTGTTGTTTGTTTTTTACATTGGGATTACAAGTTTTCTGGAACCAAGATAAAACCACTATAGTAGATATCACCTGAGAGGATGACAGGGTTGAGAGCATGATGGGATAAAGGATGGAAGAAGACAATAAACACAGTGGCTGGTGAACAGCTGTTTTTCATTATATGAAAATAGCAGAGACAAAATTGTCTTTGGAGAAAGACTTGAAGGGGAGTATTTTATTAATATGAAATCTCTGCTGAAGTTAGTGATTAGTCAGGTATAAGGTGGAAAATTCCTTTCAAGTTAAAAGTTGGGAAGTCGAGAACAAAATCATCGTACTAATTCATTTGTTTTTTGTTTTTTTTTTTTTAAAAAAAAAACCTCAAACACCTTTTTTTCATGGTGACCTAAGTAGTGTTGTCACTAGATGAAATCCAAGTAACAAATTTGATGGGAAAGATGAGGGCATGCATTTTGAGCCGTCATTACATTGCCAGTATTGAAGAGACACTAAGGAGAGAGCAGTGCCGTGAAAAACAGTTTCCCACTTGGGTGAACAGGGAAAGTGCAAGCTTCATGATTGAATTTTAGAGAGGATCATGTAAAATAAAACCTTTCGTATTCGCTGATGAAGAAAAACATGAGTGTTTCAAGAGCAGAATGGATGTATAAGAAACTCAGTCCAGAACTACTGCTTGTAGGTAGTAGTGGTAGAAAGAATCGATGTTAGTAACAGCTCAGAATTAGTCCATGGACTTGTAAACTAAAATTACTGAGTATTTCACATTTTGTGGAGTAAGAATAATGGCTTTGCTGAGATCAAAAGGCAGCAAGGACTTTACTGCTTGCAGCTAGGATGCAGAGTGTATGGTGAGAATGCTCTGATGTAATAAAGTACCTCATAGTTTTAATTTATACTATAAAATAAAGTAGCTACTGTTTTGAATATCTCCATATTAATATAGTTTTCCCCTAGTTTTAGAAACAAGTGCTGCTAAAAATGATAAAAAGCCAAATATTGAACTTATTTTCCTACTCAAATGAGATATTCATCAACTAGATATGTTTTATTGCAATTTAAACACTTAAATTTTAAAAATGATAATATATTATGGCAATTACTCATTAAGTGGCATGAAATGAGGTATAGTTATGAATGTGATACAAAAATACAAAATATGAGAAGTAATTTTAAATAAACAAAACAAAAAAGCTCAAAGAAATGTGTTTCAACATTTCTGAAAGCATTTTTTAAGTGTTTTGTTTTTTTAAATTTCTGCTTTGTGGGAAATTTTGAAATAGTTTGTTCTGATTCAGAATAATCAAAATACCAGAATTTTCCATTAAACTGGAAATTCCCAGTTTTAGCTGTTTGTAGTCTTGCTCTCACTTTCCCAATGTTAAGCCCTGAATAGATGATCTTTGGTCCAAAAAAAGTTGCTTTCTTTCTTATTCCTAAAAGTAGTAAAAAAGTCAGAATTAATAAAGGAAGAAAATTAGGTGATATGACTGCATAAGCTCTATGCTTGCATGTATAGAAAGAAGGTAAAATAAGTGGAAATTGTGATGGGTAGCAATTTGCATATAGGTGTATATCTTCCTAGTAGATGAGGAAGATCACAGGAAGTGAAATGCATGGCCTTAGATATTCCTTTAATTTCCTAAACTGTTTCTTCCACATTTAGGTGAAATGTAGAGAATTTTTTTTTTCCCCCTGAGTCATCTCAAGGCTAAATCTGTGATCATAGATTTTTATAAAATAGGGTCTGGCAGATATGTTTAATGGTACTTTGCTTTGCTTTTTCTATGAATTAGACACAGAAATGCCAATGTCTATGTGTGATTTTTTTTTTAAATAACCCAAAAAAACTGTAAAGAGAATTGAATACTGTGAATTTTATCACAAGTAGGATGTATACAAAGCAAACAGTGTGAGCACATGGCAAAAATGCCTATCTGTTTTATCTTGGCCTGAAGAGTTCTTGCATGAGTTACAGACTTCAGAAAGTATTCCTTATTATACTTATAAGCAAACTCTATTTGGAGATGAAATAAGATGTTTTTAAACAAAATAGAACATCTGCCTCAACCATTTGTAATTTCTTTAATTTACAATTAATCTGCTTCTTACTGTATGTCTTAGGACTATTTCTTCTGGTTTCATTGCACTCTCATGATTTACTACACAGAAGGGGCTTATCTCATAAAATTTATGCAGTGTTTAATGGACTGAAGCTGATTCTGCACCTTCAAATACTGATCTCTCTCACTGACATTTTCCTGTATATTTTCTTCAAATAGAAGTTACAGATAAGTCAGTCACCTCTGGTTTGGCCTATTGATACAGTGATACTCTGGTTTATTTTGAACAAAACATTAAAATG